TGTAATAAATAGATAGATAAATAAATATGTAAATAAGTACACTACAGCTGCACACAAACATCGCCCTCAACACGCTGCCAATACATGGTCATCTTCATCCACAAACGATTACTATACCAAGCTCATGATTATAAACATGTAACTATGCATCCAATTTTGTACTAAATACTACAAATTCTAAATATTTTCGAAACCTTTAGAATTCCAGCTATAAGAAAGCTTTTAATTATTAAGTGAAAGTAGATAAAGCAGCTCGACATTGATCTCGCTTTAAAAGTGAAATTGACATTATTCAATAACAGGTTATTAGTAAGGGACCACGTATAATGCTAATCCTGTAGTGTCATGTGTCACGTTTGATGGTAACCGCTGGAAGCAGAAAGCAGGGGATACTTATCGCGGAGTATTTAGTTGCGGGCACCTGGGCGAGCAGCTGCTGACTGAGACGAAGGCATTGTTGAACAGCAGCCCGCGGCGCGCCAGTGCGTCGATGTTCGGCGTCTGGCAGATCTTGTTACCGTACGCCCCCAGCTCGAAGCCGCCGTCATCGGCTGCGAGAGACCACATGGTGACAACAGGGAGCATTTCAACTTAGCACCGTCAACCATATTGAACAATAAAACTATACCGTAAAGTAGCAAGAGTCTGTATATCATTTTATTCCATGAATATTTAATCTTACTTCTTACTAATATTACAAATGCGAAAGTTGAGATTCATAGATGCATAGTTGATTGTTAGAGTTTGTAGCCTAAACTGCTGAACGGATATCGATGAAATTTGTTTAATAAAGATGTAGAGGATAGTCTGGAAGAACATATGGGCTACTCAATTTTTTTTTTTTAATTCCAAGCTGACGGAGTCGCGGGCGAAATCTAGTAAGATATAATTTTGATGAATTTATAAATTGCTGCTCATAGTAATGCACATTCTTGCACGCAAAAATAGTATAGTTGTTTGAACAGATGATATCAACTGTATAACATTGAGTGCGCCCCGGCCCCGACTGCGCCGCCCGCACCAATTGAGCATTTGTTGAAATTGTGCATTCATTATTATTATCAATATAAACATGATTCATGTTTTTACTATACTAGTTTGTTTATAATTATAACCACAGCCGGCTGCATTTATGTAGCCGCACTACTCTTAGTAATAGTAACAATTACAGTTTGTACTCGCCTCAATACAGTATTTTCTAAGAAATACAAACAGTAGTTACTAAACTCACGCCCTTAATTGAAAGCGGGCAGATATTTAAATTATAACTAAACCTGTAAAATCTATTAAATCAATATTAGTAGGAATTTGATTTGAAAAATGGTGGGGAGTTAGAAAAATATTTTCAAACTTGTTCCATATAAAACGAGAGCACCTACCACCTGATTCATCTGAGTTGTATGGGGGGGGGGGAAGTCAATGACCACTGATCACCTATTAACGGTAGACTACCGCCCGTTACTGGAAGTAACGAAAACTTTACGATTTTTTTTACTAAGTAGGACATTATTCCTATTATTTTGTTGTTAACCGATTTCATTTAACGAGCGATTAATAATTTAACGTGCTATTTCTAAACAGTTCATAAACTGTCGTCTCGAAGTCACATTGTTATTTTATAAAATAATATTTTACTTGCATTATTTTTAGATTTTTTGATACAAATAGTTACTGTAAATATTTATTACATAGGACTGGACCAAACTAAATATCTTTACATTATACTTTACAAGTCAGAAATTATAAACGATCAATGTTTCTCTTCGGAATACTATATAGTTATAGCAATTATTTCTAGTAATTTTACATACTACCGAGCTTTAAAATCAGTTTGTGACATTTGAATGTTTTTGTCAATTATTGTTTGACGTTGTCAAATAAATAAATGACAATGACAAATATCATCTGTGGAAGAGGAATGTGATAGTAAAATAACAAAATAGAAAATATTAAATACTCTCTTGAAATCCACTATCGAACAGTTAACATGACAAATATGACTTACCCAATAATATAAGAACATTTCGAGGCTTATTAGATAATACTTTTTCTGTGATAAGTACACATACTACGTAAAATATAGCCGGCACTCTCGCCATGTTGTTGTGCGATAGCCGCGAATTGACGTGTCGCCTTCGCAGCGGCGGCGAAGTATTTAGTTGGCAACTCGGCGCTGCGTTTACTGCAGTAACTGTCGCCGCCCTTCCCTCCACTGCCACTGGAGCCTCCGGTATCGATATCGACCGCGCCACTTCTGTTCTACAAAAAATTGCGCGGAATTGAACCCTGTCCGTGGCAATGGATGACCGTAAAAATATTTTATACTTGTTCGACGTGGACGGGACCCTGACTAAACCGCGGCAACGAATTTCCGAAGACCTGAAGAACTTTTTACTAAACGAAGTGAAATCCCGGGTCAATGTAGGATTGGTCAGTGGATCCGACTATAGCAAAATTGTAGAGCAAATGGATGGTGAGGAGACAACAAATCAGTTTGACCATGTCTTCTGTGAAAACGGCGTAGTGCATTATCAACAGGGACAATTGAAGAAATCCGAAAGCATTTTGACATACATTGGGGAGCAGACTCTGCAGAAGGTTATAAACTTTGCCCTTGGATATATGTCTAAGTTAGAACTTCCAGCTAAGAGAGGTAACTTTGTGGAGTTCAGGTCGAGCATGATCAACATCTGCCCAGTGGGTCGTTCCTGCAGCCAGGCCGAGAGAGATCAGTTCTCCCAGTTTGACATGCAGCACAAGATCAGAGCAAACTTTGTTGATGCTTTACAAAATGAGTTCAAAGATTCCAAATTATCTTTTGCTTTGGGAGGCCAGATCAGTGTTGATGTATTTCCTACAGGATGGGATAAAACTTACTGCCTTAATCACATTTCAAAAGACAGTTATAATGAGATACATTTCTTTGGGGACAAAACAACACCGGGAGGAAATGATTATGAAATATTTAATGATGACAGGACAGTTGGCCACACAGTCACCTCCCCGCAAGACACCAAAGAACAGCTGAAGCAGTACCTCAATATACTATGAGCAACTGTAATAAAACACTTGTACATATTGCTTTAATGAAATTTATTAAATAATAAATGTATATTGTAATATGTTTATTATTATGCAATACATTATTCATCTGCTACAAATTTTAGAAAAATATACAATAATGCCACAAGTTAACAATAAAAGTTGACAACATCAATATTTAGATAAGTGAAAGATAATTCAAAATAGGCAGAGTGCCTACAGGCAATTGACACAATTCCTTGAATAGTTACATTACAAAATAAAAATTGTTAAATAACACAAATATCAAATCAAACATTTTTTAAATTACAACATACTATGTGAGACAGTAGACATTTGTTCAAATAAGGTTAAACCTCAATGTTTCATTGTCACCAGAACGAAAGATGTTTAAAAAAGTTTAAACTTTAAATAATCCTGCATACAAATAGTCTGACAGCTTACATACATAAGACAATATCATTTGCCTTTAAGGCTTGGTCCAGCACATCTATAAATGCAGTCAATAACTTGAACCTAATAATATCACTTAAAAAAAACAATTACATTGTCTGTGCTAAAGATATAAAAGTCGGTAATAAAAAGTTCTTATGATATAGGTAGGTAGTATGTATTGGTCTCACCCCTGACAATCTAAAAACAAGCTGTGTATAAAATTGAATATAGATTTTTCTGATAATTTCACTCAAAAGCAACTTTTTTTACTTTTTTCACAGATAAATGCACTTATTTCTATTTCTAGCTTTATAGAAATTTAAAAATAACTAAATACTGTATGTAATATTAAAATTCATTCAAAAAATATATATATTGTTTGTATATAGGTTTACAAAATATATGTATGTGCTTTTGTTTTCTATACTATTCACTGTATTTTGCTTAAATATATGACTAACAATTACTTGATTTAACAATAGAAAATTTACAATCAATGACCCTCATATTTTGGTTTTCTCTTCTCAATGAATGACAACATTCCCTCTTGCCTGTCTTTTGTTGGTACATTGATTTCATAATATTTTTGTTCTACTTCATAGCCATCCTTGATGCTGAGCTGCACTCCTTCGTTGATGGCTTGCTTGGCGCAGCGCAGTGCAATGGGCGCGTTGGGTAAGATCTCCCGGGCCAACTCCACCGCCTTCTCGAACGCGGCGTTGTTGGTCTCGATCTGAGTGACCGCATGATTCACAATACCTGCAGATAGACAAAAAATATAAGTAGCTTATTATAGCGCATAGTTGTCGTCATGTGTAAGGGTAGCTGCAGAACCTAGATAATAAGGAAATGTAAGTAGATCACAGCATTTTATTGGCACCTAGTCTTTTATTGCTCATTAAAGTTAAATAAAATCATACCCAATTCCTTGGCTTCTTTGCCATTAACAATCCTGGACGTAAATATGAGTTCCTTGGCTATATTGGGATGGATGACTCTGGGCAGACGCTGCGTGCCACCAGCACCAGGTATCAGGCCCCGACCCGTCTCCACCAATCCCAGTTTAGCATTCTCTGCGGCTACTCTTATATCACAAGCTAGAGCCAGTTCAAGCCCACCACCCACTGCCACACCTTCAATGGCCGCTATGGTTGGCATGGGCAAGTCCTCAATCTCTATAAATGTTTCTCTCAGACCTCTAACAAAATTTGCCACTTCATCATCTGTCATTTTGAACCTTTCTTTTAAATTTGCACCTGTAAATAAATATAAACTAACTTATTAGTTATCTGCTGTACATGGCCTAATTTATAATAGTCCTACTATTGAAAGAAGTCCTCAAATAGGGATAGCACTTGTTAAACTTTTGGTTGCAGGCTCCGTGTGTTTGTTGTTTATTTTATATTAATATGAATTAAATTTATGCAGAGTATCATCTCTATTTTATAGTTAGCTATAATTAACTGTACACATACCTGCACAAAATATTCCTCGTACCAGGCTATGCAAAATGACTACAGATATTTTAGTATCCTTCCTGATCAGTGCATTTACTTCCCTCATAGACTGCACGAGTTCAAAACCGAGCGCGTTCTTGTCTTTAGGGCTGTTGAGGCCATACACTGCAATACCCCTGTCAGCACCCACCAACTTGTGAAAAACAACAGGCCCAACATTCTCCACCTCCTGAGTGTGTGTTGATAAAAGCCTCAGATTCGAGGTGGTCCTTACTAAGCTGTTTATTTTAACTCTTGATATCATATTTATCGTATTTGTCAAGTTTATTATTGATATATTACTTTAAATTGAGGCAGAATTATCAGCAGATAAAATACGTACGTAACAGCTAAGGTCACAGAATACCGCGTTAGCAGAGCCAGAGGTCTGGAAACATTCTGTTTGTGTAGTGGAGAATAAAATAATTATTTGATCAAAACTCCTTATCAGTACAACTGATAACGCTGTTGACAGTACTTTTTCTTAATTTATCAATGTGAACTGTAAATGATCGTATGCGATAATATTGTAACGTGTTAAATATACAACTGTCGTATAAACTACATATACATCACATAGTTAAAACTCTTAAAGGAATTAAATAGAATGGCATCCGAAGTTTTTCGAGGTTATGACTGGTTTTGACATTATTTTTCTAAATAATACCTTACGTACTGTACCCACAGTCAAAAATCCATTCATGTCTGATCTGAATCTAAGTTAAATTATGTAAATGATATTATGATCATTCAAATATACACATTAACAACCAATATTAATTTTGCTTTTGACATTTATTCAAGGTCGTATTACTTATTATAAACAATTTAAAAAATCCTGTATTAAGCGTATTGCCATACAAAATGTAAAATTACTTTTCTAATTTTCTACGTATGCTTTTAAAATTATTGAACCTACTCTACTCTTTCATTGCACAGGATCTAAATCGCAAATCTTGGCTTAAATGTTTCGTATCCAGACCACACGATTTTTTTTAATTTATAAATCTGACGTTTTGTCGTCAAAAAGTAAGGTTATATTTGTGTTTATCTTATTCAAAACTTTCGTTCAGTTTCGATTAAGATTATATTGTTTGAATCAGGACAATTATCCGCAATTATGTCGTACGATCCGTATATTTGTAACCTAGATCCAGAAACAAAAACATCGCTCAAAGTGTATCTTTTTAACAATGTTGAGAATGTGGATCAAATACGAAGCAATATTATGAACGGTACTTGGAAATGCGCTGCGATAAAGCCTAGTTTGATATTAGATTTATTTCAAATTGCTGTAGCGGCAAACAAAGCAGTGTTAGCGGAAAAATCACAAGCAATGATCACTCGGACCGTGTACGCTGAAATATTATTTAACTTGTCTCTGTCTAAGAACATATCTCAAAGTTTGAGTAAATTTGGTGTTGAGACAGACCGGAGCTTGCTGGTTTGTTTCTTGATAACAGCAGATAGTGATGAAAGTGAAACTATTCTTGAACAAATAAAGGGCGAATTATTACAAATTAGCGATTTAAAACAATTTACAAACATACAAGAAGTAAAGAGTATATATAAATTAACTAATGTGAAGTCCGATGTTAGCCTCCTTAATTTGATAATTACTAAAATTGTCACAAAAAGTTTTATAGCACATTAGATGGCTGAATGGTATACTGCCAATCTACATAATACATTTGGCCATGTGGGAGTACTAGTCTTAACTTGAAATCATTAATTTAAGGCCAATTTTAAATAATAATTAAGAACTGCTTACCTTAATGAAGGCTACTTGTGTATTTGTATATGTAGGTAACATTTCTGTGTATTCATGTAATAGTGCTATTTTTTTAATCTGTATATATTAAATTTGTGAATTTTATCTTGGTTTGTAAAAATTAATAAATTAAATTGTACAATATATACTATTATTCATTAGACTCTCAAACCCTGCATTAAACCAAAATCGTAATCATTTTATCCATGTATTATTTACATTAGTACTGATTATATAATGCATAGGTAATATTAGTATAACAGAAATAATAATACAATGTTATGTACCATGTTTTATTTCAACAACAACAACAATGTACAATTAAATTAGACAATATGTAAAAGCGATGATTAATCAATCATTTCATAGACAAAACTTACATAATTCAATCGTTTGATTGAAGAAAAACAGTTATCTCTGCAGCCAATGTTTTTGTTCAAATATCTTGTCCAATGTTCAGGAAACATTAAATGCTTAGCTGTACATATATCTTCCTAACCTTAATGTTACCGGCTCAAATGGCAGACTAAATTACAACTAAAAAATAAAGACTAACCCTTTGTATGAACACTGCATGCGTATCTTGTTTACTCTAATGTAAAAGAACACAACATCATCAACTGTTTACATAGTTAACAAAAACTTACAACTTATTGTTTAATATTAAAAAAAAATGGCATCTAGTAATAATTAAGTCTTAGGAACTTTCTGTAAAATCACATAATCACAAAACCCCTTATCTGAAGAACACAAAATACGGATTATTTGGGCGAAAATAAAATGGCGCGAGTCGTTCCCTCTTGATTCACATATAGTGGTGATCCACCGACCTCTATAAATAGACAGGTCATAACACTTGATATTTCGACAGTATCTGAATTAACTGACTCCAGCGTAAACAGGCGCAGTAATGAAGCAAAAGCTGTAATTTGCAAGCAATGGCCTATCCATTTATACAGATCTGTGATTCCTTATACAAGTTAATAGTAAATTATACGTCGCTATTGCATGTTTAGCGTGACGCGAGTATTTTATACATTTGAACGCCGAACTAAATTTTTATGTAAAGGTAGGGTAGATATGAAATGGTCGCGTTGGACTTATCCGAGCTTACCGTACGTACGGGTAGCACCACTTGAACACGTGTCTGCTGGTGGCGGCGCACTCGCACTCGCACTGGCACCCTGCGGTAGAGGGCACCTACAATAATGCCTGCGCGCTCTACTACTGCTGCGGCTCCCAATGTAGTATTCGATCCAGAAATTACTTTATAATTTGTAGTTGCAGACGTAACCAATATATCGTTTATTACATTTTTATGCAAGCTCTGTGCGCGACATCGACAACGGGCCCGGAGCCCGCAGCCGCTGGCTACATAATAATTATTCTACGTACACTAAATTACTCAAATTGTATTGCATTTCATTGTATAAAATATGTCCTAAATAACGCTATATTTACAGGCGTCGTCCTCTGCGTACTACAGCGAGGCTCTCCGGGAGGCAGTATATTTGGCTAGGTCGGCTCTGCGACACCGCACGATACTTACTAATGTATATTAAATATAAATAAATATTTACGTTGCTCAATTTTAATGACACGTACCTACGTTATGTAAATAAAAACGTCGCTATCCATTATAACAGTTTCATACTATTGTTCTGAACCTCGGTCGCCGTCGAGTTCCGTGGAGACGAATGTTTGGAGAAACATTTCACGAGATTAACATGATTGTATAACTTAGTCACTGCATGTGCCATTAAAAGCCTACATTACAACAGCCCGGCCGCGACTGAACACTTCACGTACGCGTTTTACTTCAGCTAATTACCGCCAGAAAATGGCGCTGCTTGGTGCTGCTCGGCGCTCGCACGCAACATATCGACCTAAGTTTAGCACCAAATGTTGCCGCCCGCGCAACGCCCCGACACGCCCCGCGCAACGCCCCGACACGCCCACACTCTACAAGTGACTGCACACGCCCCGTCCCCAGTGGGAATACACACTATATACTCCACGTCCCAATATAAGATATCAACACACGCCACAAGCTACGCGAAATATAATCGGTGGGATTGTACTGCATTGATCGAGTTTTACTTATTAATATACTTGCAAAAATAACAGATTTACTATTTACATAACATGTAGAAAAATATAGAGTAAACAAATCAACATTAACAACGTAAAGAATGTCGCTATTAAACCTAGTTTTGTCTAGAATAATTTTTCGTAGTAAGAGCAAGTTGTGGAGATGTCTTTTGTGACGGCGGCGCTGCAG